AGCAAAGGCTGGCTGGGCTATGAAGAGAAAGTAACCCTTCTGTACTTTCGGCCAAAGTGTAGATGGGTACAGCCACAGTGGACATCAGTGTAGAGATTCCTCAACAAACTAAAACTAGAGTTTACATTTGTCCCAGCCATTCCCCTTCTTGGGATCTTCCCAAAAGAATTAAAAGCATCATGTTACAGCAATATAGAAACATCTACATTATAGCAGCATTTGGAAAGATGTCATCAACCGATGAATGAATAAAGATGTGGTAGATTTTTTTGGTTTTTGTCCTGGGAGCTGATCGAAGGGTCTCATGCTGACCAGGCAAGCACTGTGCTGCTGAGCTTCATCCCCACCCCAAGATGTGTGGTTTTTTTTTTTTAATACCATAGAGTACTACTCTGCCATAAAGAAGGATAAGTTTGAGATATTTCTAGCTAAATGGATGCACCTGGAGACCATACTCTTAAGTGAAATACATCATCCACACATGTTTAAATGCCCCTATTGTTTCTCTGGTATGAGAAACTGAAAGTGTAAATAAGGACCAAAATGTATAATAAATACTGGAAAATGGAAAGTAAATGTTCAAATGAGAAGAGAAACAAGAGAAAGAAAAGGAAAGAAGGACAAGAAAATCAGAGACTAGAAGGAAAAAATGAAAACAAAGCTTTTGTAAACGAGGAGGGGAAAGAGGATTGAAAGGAGGGTAGAGGGAATGGAAAAAAAGAAGCAACAAATATCACATATAAGGTACAAACTCCCTATGATGAATGTTTTCATTATGTACATCTAAAATGTTACTAAAATACTTTTTAAATGGAAATAAAGATTACCTGAGATAAGTCATAAAAACCATTAAGTAATGCCTAGCACATGACAGTCCATAAATATCAGCTATTTTTGTTAGAAATGATGAAGAATTAGCACCACAGAACAAGTCCTATACCAAGTCCTCCTTTGTGGTTGACTGAATCAGAAGAAATAAACAGGATTAAAGAAGGAATAGATACATTCAGAGAATGCTCTGTATCTAGAGAAAGACAACCTGTAGCAAAGATAAAGCATCGAGAGTGCCTGGCAAAAAAAAGTGGGGTGAGGCTGGGGATTTAGCTCAGCGGCATAAGCACCTGCCTTGCAAGCAGGCAGTCGTGAGTTCGATCCCGGGTATCAATAAAAATGAAAACGACAAAAAAAAAAAGAGTGCATGGCAAACACAGAATTGCTCCCAAATTCAAAGGAGTTCAGATTCAAAGGAATAGAATAGAATTACTATTACCTTAAAAACATTCAAACCTAAAAAATGCATCTTCTCTTAAATCCTAGCAGTAATAGTATGTGTAAAAGCAAAGTTAGATCATAAATAAAACCAAGCTGGGAATGAATCAGTCAACATAAGACAAAGGTGCTACTTGCTGACTGGTAAAGAAACTAGCCAGAAAACTTGGCAACATTTATTTCTAAATTTACAAGACACAAATTTACAGATTATAGTTTTTCAAATGCAATATCAGCAAAGTTATCCATATTTTGGTAATCTGAAATGCTACTCCCCCCAAAAATTAGTCTATTCTAAGGTTCAAAATGCAAAAATTGGTAATAGGTTAATTATTCTACATTTCCAAAAGTGGTTTTCCTTATCAAAATAATACATGTTGATTCTGAGCATTGGAAAGTATGAAAAAGTATCAAGTTAGAGGGGGGAAAGCCATTATATAAAAATCACTATAACGTTTCATGCAGCCCTTCTAATGAAGTTTTTCATTAGACAGTACTATAAGATTGTATTATACAGTAGTATTCCCTCATCCCCTTATCCAAGCAGGATAGGTTCCAAGACCTCCAGTGAATATCTGAAATCATGGATAGTGAAAGCCACTGTGTTTTTCTGTATACATTCATACCTGTAATAAAGTTTTATTATAAATTAAGCACAGTAAGAGATTAACATAATAAAAAGGGCAATTTTTTTAAATCATGAAAATATAGTCTCTCTCGAAATATCTTTTAATACTTTCAGACTGGTTAATGTGAATGATAAGGGGAACTAGCACATACACAACACTGTGTTGTTCTATTCCATACCTATATACATTTCATGTATGTCTGTATTACATATCTATATCATATCTATAATCATTTCTATTGTAGATCATATATGTATCACATGTATCATATATGTTTTAGGACATAATAAATGATAGAGACTTTCATAATATATGATAGAAATATTTCATTTTTCTTAATGCTACAAGTTACTGAACTAAGGGTGAAGACTTGCTCTAGGAAGACCTTTATAGTTTAGATCAAGTCATTTTAGTAATAAATGTCCTCCTTACGTAATTTCACAAGTCTAAGATCAACTTTCAGTCCCAGGACCACATGCAACTTGTCAGAACTTCATGTGAGACTCTACCTGAAGTAAATGGGGGGAAAAAAGTAAATGGAAAAAATGCCATTGTAAACTTGATTTATGCTAGTTAAAATGCTTTGAAAGCACATTTTATACAAAAAAAAGACCAGTAATAAAGAACATTAGTATTACCACTTTATATATGATGCTGTTTAACTGTTCCATTCCTGGGCAGTCATTTTAAGGCAACCTAATATAAGGTATTTTTCCATATGTACGGTGAATTACAAGAAGTATAATCTACATCTGAAGATTTTTAGTCTGTACCAAAAAAATCTAAAACTAAAGTTCATTACCTTTTAAAATACAAAATTTACTTTCATTAAATGGGCAATGTACATACACAGTATATTTCTCATTTTATGTAATGCTGTAATATTAATATAAGCCGGGTGTGGTGGCACATGCCTGTAATCCCAGCACTCAGGAGGCTGAAGCAGGAGGATCACTGCAAGTCTGAGGTCAGCCTAGGCCACAAACTGAGTTCAAGACCAGCCTGAACTGTATAGTGAAACCCTATCTCAAACAAGACCAAAAACAAAAAAAGTATATTAATATATGCTGTTTACTGGCAAACTCTGGGTCTAATAAATAAATTATATGGATCTTTGTTACATTACCATCCATATGATATAAACATTTTAAACATACCACAGAGCCAAATATCTCACAGAATTTAGAACACCTAAATAACATTACTAGTTGAACATGGTGCTTTTTCTTAACATCCTTAGACTCCAAGATTGTATATAGTTTATTCTTTAGGCTCACATCTCAAAATAATTTAACTCTTTAGTAGCAAACTAAATAGAAGTGTGTAAAACAATTCTATCAAGTAAAAAAACAACTGAGATGTTTTAAATACTTCATCACCGCTTGGGATTTACGCAGCAGTATAAGCGCCTGCCTGGCAAGTGCAAGGTCATGAGTTCGATCCTGGGTACCAAAAAAAAAAAAAAAAAAAAAAAATTCATTACCAAAGCACTATTATAAAACTTTTCATAAATCTGTATTCTTACATCTTTCGGCCAAAAGAAACCTAAAGTACACGATCATATGATAAAGTAGTCCTGCAAGCATTGTAAGGTAAGCCCTTCCAGTTTATAGAGGAAAATATAGCGTTAAGCCTCAAATTCTTCTACCATGTAAGACTTTTCATAACTCTAAAAGCTACATCATGGGCTCAATAAGATATCATTACACCACCTTGTAAAATCACTAAAGAGTAAATACATCTTCCTCGGATAATCAAATCTGAAAGAACTATGCATTGGGGTGTTTTTTGAAAACTGATGGTCGCATTACCACTGTGGAAAAGAGACCAGTCGGTTTTTTAAAAGTATCTCCAAAGAGGGGAGCACCTTTTGTAGTTCAACTACATTCTGTGAATTTTTATCTTGTTACTACCACTCTGTATCAGACATCTGTTATCTTTCATCCATACAACCTGCCCTTCTAGAGTTTGCCTTTCTCAAGCCAGAAAGGAAATTCTTACGTTCCCCTCAGGGGCAAGACTGGAAACTATTCAGAACTCAATACCCAACCTGGTATTTTTTTCATGCAAAGTTTAGAAAACATTAATACCAAAACTTCCCCCATCCCCAGAGAAATATATAGAACCCAGAGCTGTGTACTTGCTAGGCAAGCACTTTATAATTGAGTTACACTCCCCAAGGCTTTTTTGTAATCCTAAATATGATCTTGCTGAACAGCACCTTGGTAAGAACTCAAAACTTTTACAGAAACACAAGGATAGTGTCTCCACAAATCAAGCAATTTTTCAACTAAAGAGAAGCACTGGTTTCGTGGAAAATGCAGGAATAAGGAAAAATCAATTTTCTAGACTTCACTTATTCAAGGAGACTCAGATTCCTTGTGTGCAAATTTAAAGACTAAATCAGTTCTCTCAGTGGATCTTCATAAAGCTCCGAACTCTGAACACTACCTTTTCGTACGACCCTAGTAAGCTTTTGTAACTTAATGATGGGGGTGGGGCAGGGGGCAGAATTGGTTCTGGCTACAGTGTAGAGGACTTTCAAAGTATTTTAGTTAATAATTTGACAGAAGTGCCACTTTCAGGTAACAGTTACATAACAGGGACGAGCTAACCGCCTTACTGGTCAAGGGCGACAAACTTTGCGGGAAAGTCAAGATAGGGCCATTCACCCAATGAAGGTGGGTAATCACAAACTGGGCCCTGCAGTCCGCCGCGCGCCCACTCAGCGTGCAGCCCTGGAAAGCTGAGGTCCCCCAGTAGGGGGTGCAGGGTCACCCTGTTGCTGTCCCAGGTGTCCTCTGGGCCCTAACTTCAAAAAAGCACACCCCAAACTCAAATAGTCCTCCCTTCACTTTTAGGCGCTTCTCCATCTCTTCCTAAGTCCCAAAAAGGTCACTGACTCGCATATCTGGCGCGGGCATGAGGGAGCTTCAGGAAGTGTCAACGTGTGAAATGCGGCAGTAGAAGATGCCAAAATTTTGTTTTTTAAAACCTCAACCCAACTGCAGCAACCCCTGGGAAAAGACCTCTTCGGCCATCTGGTCGCGAGAGGCTGACAGCCGGGAAGAGGGGTCAGGAAACGCGGCGCGAGGTCCTTACCCGCTGCAAAGCTGGCAGCTGCCGGCCGCTGCCGGTGGCTCCAGTACCGGAGGCCGGAGGCGGCTCTCCGGAGCCGCAAGGAGGCTGCCATGCTGCCTCCGCCCCGCCTCCCGGCGATGACCTCCGCCACCGCCTCCCCGCGGGCCCACTGACTGCGTGTGCGCAGGCGGTCTGATGGGCAAGGCCAAGGCTTGGAGCCGCTCGCGCATGCGCCCCTACTGCTCTGGGCGGGCGCTCGCCCGCGGGGGCCAGGAGCGCGGCGCCGCAAGGAGCAGGCAGGCGGGACAGTGCCTGTCAATCACCTTACAGACAGGGGTACGAACCAATCAGATTTCTAAAATTTTCCGGCACTCTAGCTCCACCCCCCAAGGTGGGTCTAAATTTATACCCAAAGGTTGGAAGTCACTTCGTTAACCAAACCGCTCAGGGCGCTTGAGAGGTGGTGGCTGTAGCTTTCTACGGCCCTTCTTCTGACACTTCCCACCCAGCACTTCCCTTTCGGACTGCTGTGACAAAGTGTTTCTTCCTCTCCAACAAGGACATACTGTTACACTCAGCAGCTGCTGCAATTTTTAGGCAAGAACAAAAATTTCCAGTCTTTCCAAAAATACGGACCAGTTTTGATGCTTAAGTAATAATAGATCTCCTGATGTTAGCGTTTGTAATTTTAGTGTCCATTTGTTGAAAAACAATCACAGAAATCTACTCTGTATGTAATAACTTTTAAAATCTATTTGATGCTATTTAACTCAACAGTTTTTCTGTAAGTCTGAAAAAAAGTACAAGTTTGAAAACAAATTGATAACGTTATTCTTTGAAGGTAGAATTTCTAGAAACTTGTGCCTTGTTTACCAAGACATACTTCTATAGCTTGCATCCATTTTGTAAGCAAAGACTAAAGGTAAATTAAAATCCAAAGATAGTACATACGTTATCTGTGTGTTAGAGAAATAGACAATTTACTAAATCTTTGGGTGCTTGGTGTACGTATTTGTATCTCTGACCCTTGGGGAAAATTGCAGAGTTTCCTGTCAACCAGAGGATTGGGAGCCAAGCATGCCAAAGCAAGACATGTACCCTCTAGAGAAAGGTAGTGCAGGAATGGGAGCGTGCACAAGTACGGACTCCAGACACTTGTTCTCCAGCTCCTGCACTGAAAGGGGCTGGTTCAGCACTTTCCTAAGGCTTCTGGATATGGGCAAACAGAATTGAATGAGCCCGTAGCTGCTCTTTTCCATCTGCTTGGCTGTGTCTAAAAGAACTGATATTAGCTCTTGAGTATTTGAAATCAGATTTAGGGAGGAGACTGAGCCCTAGATGTTACCATCCTGCTCCTTCTTCCCAAGCTGTTTCACAGTTTAGAAATCCTTGGAATAAGTAGACAGAAGTAGAATGAGAAGCGATATCATTTGCTGTGAAATCATTTGCTGCATTTGGCAATTGATTTGATGAGATAGGATCTCAAGTGATCTGAGAATTCTTTCAATTTTATTTTTTAAGATCTCATGAATTGCATTGTCTCCATGATTAAGGATCCATACTAGTGACTGCATGGTAAGGGTTAGAAGATAGGTTTGTTCAGTGGCATCAACAGGACCGGCTGTTGACTCCAACTTTCCTGTGGGGGCTGCTTGTATGACAGGGAGCCCGTGGGAGAGTTAGCAAGCCACCCATACCGCTAACACCGTTGTGGGTAAGAGACTGAGCAGGATGGCTTCTTCCCATCAGGGCATTGTGCCTGTTGTCCACCCCTGGAGGTGCTCTGGGAGCCAGCGTAGGTGGGATGATACACTGTGCTTTTTAACTCCATATAGTTGCTGGCCTTATTTCTGTCACTTGTTTAATATCTGAAGTGTTTTTATTATCTAATTGTGTATTCAGTTATAACTAGGGGAGGGGTAGTAAATACATAGGACAGGTGTAATCAATCCCTAGTGCTGCAGCGACCCTTCTTTTCTTTTAGACAAGATAACGCTGAGTCTCCCTCTTCCTCCTTTGTTTTCTTTTTTCTCCAGCCTCTTGCATCCCTTTCTCTTCTATTCTTTCCTACAGCTATCATATGTACAGTTTTCTCTCTTTGTGATTATCACAAAATTTCACTTCAAATCCGAAATCAAGTGTTTGCTCAAGAATTTTTTTTTTTTTTTTTTAATTCTGAGACCTCAGCAGAGTATTCTTCTTGTTTCCTCCACAAACCCATTCAGTGCAGGAGAGAGTTGGGGATGGAAATCATGTTGCCTGGGATGCTGGTCTCTTATATATTAATATAAAACCCACATAAATCTCTCTCCATTTGGGCAGGGGTTGGCATTCTCCCCTTGGCTGTTAACCGAGGGATGGGGCCAGCTGGCAGGCAGCCTTCACCCTGCCTGACAGGTGCACACATCCTAGCACACACTCTGTGTGGGCAGGTCAGTACGAGACGGGGTGGGGCAGTTCACCTTTGGAGGAGAAGTATCATTTCTTTCTCAAGTGGAATTTTTACACTGTGCTGTAACATTTAAACTTTCAAAAATGATGTTATAATAGTGAAATAAGGGGCTGGGGATTTAGCTCAGCGGCATAAGCGCCTGCCTTGCAAGCAGGCAGTCGTGAGTTCGATCCCTGGTACCGATAAAAACGAAAAAGACCAAAAAAAAAAAAAAATAGTGAAATAAAATTCTTAGCCATTTAAAAAAAATAAAAAGAAAGAAAAGAGAAACAAAAAAAGGAGAGAAAAGAGACGTGTAGGTAGGACAGTAGGAACCCCCAGAGCTGGGTATGGTGGAGCACAATTGTAATTTCAACTACTTGGAAAACTGAAATAGATTGCAATTTAAGATCATCTTAGGCTGCATAAGAGACCCTGTTTCAGAATAAAATAAAAAGGGCTGGGGGAATTGCTCGATGTTAAATTGCTTACCCAGAGCATGTCCCTAGGTTCAATCTCCAGTACCAGGAAAAGAAAGAAAGGAAGAAAAGAAAGAAAGAAAGAAAGAAAGAAAGAAAGAAAGAAAGAAAGAAAGAAAGAAAGAAAGAAAGAAAGAAAGAAAGAAAGAAAGAGGGCTGGGGATTTAGCTCAGCAGCTTAAGCGCCTGCCTTGCAAGTGCGTAGTCCTGAGTTTGATGCCTCGAGAGCCATTTGTGGACTGGAGGGAGAGAGATCAAGGCCACACCAGGAAGCAAGTGCCATCTGGGAGCCAGTGCTAGCACAGGCTGCAGGGATAGCCAGACCCCAGCCCCTTTCGGTGTAGGAGCTATCGAACAAGAAATACCAATCCCCCCTCCCACTGCGCGCTGTAGGGAACTGGGTTATCCAGAGAAACACAGGCTGTAATGGTAGCTGTCAAGGTAGAATGCAGTTGGATACCTGTGGTACTTTGGTGTTTCACTGATTGCAGGTCTAGGGCCAGTGGTCTGGTCAGAGATTCAGAAGATAACAATATAGAGGTGACATCTAGGAAGGATCTCCTTCTCAGGGTTGTAACCATTGTTGATTCCCTGTGGTCTTGTTTTGAAGTTCTATATCATTTCCATTGTTTTGTTGGGTTGGGTTTTATTCTCTTTTGCTTTGTTTGATTATGTTGAATCTGATGGCATGAGCAGCTATTTCAAAGACAGCAAGATACATTATGGTAGTAATTTTGGATTTACTATTGGCTGGTTTTGAAGTCCTTCGTTGCATTCATTGTTTCGTTTTTATTGTTTCTACTCTATTCTGTTCTGTTTGATTTTTATTATGTCCGAAGGTATCTGCAGCTATTTTGAAGACAAAAAAAAGCATTATGGTAACTATTGTTGATTTCATAATGTTTTGAAGTTCTACATCACTTACATTGGTATGTTTTGATTGTTTCATTCTGTTTTATGCTCTTTAAAATAAAATTTTAAAAAAAACTTTTAAAAAAATAAAAAGAACCCCACGGTGTCTATCTCCCAAACAAATTTATTCATTTTCCTAGGGTTATAGTCACCCACCCTTTTAATCTAAGTAGCAGAAAAAGTAAAATTGACTTTGATTAGTTTTTAAACTCTGTCAGGTGACCCTTGGAGTTGGAAGCTACTAAAAGGAAAACAACAGGTATTAGATAATTTCCAAGCAGGTACTCTTATATTTTTGGGTACGGTAGCAGTGTTTGCAGGAACCAGTACAAAGGGCAGGACTCATCTGTAACTGGTAGAAAAACAATTCTCTTCATTGTTTATCTTTCCACCAGACCTTCTATCCAACACCAACTGACACAAATGAAAGGAAGTTGGGGAAAACCTTGTTTTAGCTATTGGATAGTCTCCTAGATTAGGACTACTATTTTTTTTTTTTTTTTTTTTTTTTGAGCATTTGAGTTGTCTGTCTTTATGGTTTCTTTAGAATTTAACTGAAACAAATCTCTTACAATCAGAAAGTGTAGCCTAAGGCTGGGGATTTAGCTCAGCAGCATAAGCACCTGCCTTGCAAGTGTGTGGTCATGAGTTCAATCCTCAATACCGATATAAAATAAAGATAAAAATAAAAGCTAGTAAGTGTAGCCTTCTACTGTCTCTGTTTTACTGAAGTGCACCCTGTCTTTCAACAATGTCAATTCCTAGACATAGAGCTGTTTGCAACACATGACAACATATCAGCTTTTAGGATTTATGTCCTGATCCTCTTGAGATTTTATACCAAATTAGATTGCTTTTGTCATTTTTAAAATGAACATTGTTGTTTTCCTCTAGGTTCTTTATATTACTCTTTTAAAAAAAAATAGGTATTTCTTAACAAATGGCTTCCACCTGTGAATAGCATCCTCCTAGGACTACAAAGAAAGGTTCAACAAGAGCGGGCAAAGCTAACATTGGGCGGAGGTCTGGCAGGAAGGTTTGTTTGTTTGTTGTGCCTCTGGTAATGGTTTTGAAGAGGAGGTACTTTTGGGATTGATTCCATTTGCCTGAATGTGAGCAGGGGATGAATATTTTACATACTCCATCATGTAGTCTCCTCCCCGAAGCCCTGTACTGATTCATAAATTAAAAGATTTTCATACACTGTATCTCTTAAGCATGACAATATTCTTTGTTAGTAACTTTTAGTATTTGAAGGTGCTTGCAGGTATTATATTTGCAAAGGTAAAACACCTCTTTGTCACAGTCAGTTTCAAAAATGGGAACACAAAACATTTATAATTGAATTGTATCTGAAGCAGAGGGTATATTTGA